GGTCCGGGCTGGGGATTCGAACCCACCATCTTAGGTGTACATGGCTGGCGCCTTAGCCGGTTGAGCTATAGGCGCCGAGCCAACAATGACATCTTAAAACCAACAGAATATACATGTATCAGAGCTCATAAGTGTCTAAATAAAGTCAAATTAAAACTAACCATGGTAGCAAAAATTATCATTTTACATTTTTTTTTAAGAAAAACTTGTCTCTGAACTTTTTCTGTACAGTTTAGATAAATTATGAGAACTGCTTTCCTTTTCAACTGCTTGGGGGAGCTATAACAGAAAAGAGAAGTATGCATATTGCATATTTGCTTATTTGCTTAATTTTTAACTCTAGAGAAATGGGAACTAATCACATTTTACATACAGTTTAATGAGTCATATTGAATCATTAAAAACAGAGGATAGGAAAATTATTTCATACTTATCAAATACGCTACAATTATTTTTGTGACAGAGTCTCACTTTGTCATCCTTGGTAGATAGAGTGCCGTGGCGTTATAGCTCACAGCAACCTCAAACTCCTAGGCTTAAGTGATTCTCTTCCTCAGCCTCCCAAGTAGTTGGAACTACAGGAGCCCGCCACAATGCCTAGCTATTTTAGAGACAAGGTCTTGCTCTGGCTCAGGCTGGTCTTGAACCTGTGAGCTCAGGCAATCCACCAGCCTCAGCCTCCCAAGTGCTGGAATTACAGGCATGAGCCACCATGCATGGCCTACAAATTTTTTTTAAAAATAAAATACAGCACTTACTTTTTATACAATTGGTTTTTGTCAGATCAATAAAAGGTGTATAAGAGAATGTAATCCTCTTACAACACTGCTTTATTCTCCTCAGTTTTTAGAAATGTACTTAACTTACTCAGAAATGAAACAGAAGAATGTAAACCTGACCAACCACAACAGAATTCCAACATTATTAACAAACTAGAATTTGAATTTCAAATGTTCACGGAAAAAATTAATAAATTCCTGGACGATGAAAAGCAGGAAGCACTGATATAATAATGTATACAATTCAAAATGATTACACTAGGCCGGGAGTGGTGGCTCATGCCTGGGAGGTCGAGGCAGGTGGATTGCTTGAGCTCAGGAGTTCGAGAATAGCCTGAGCAAGAGTGAGACCCTGTCTCTCTAAAAAAAAAAAAAAAATAGCCAAGCACGTGACAGGCACTTGTAGTCCCAGCTACTTGGGAGGCTGAGGCAAGAGGATTGCTTGAGCCCAAGATTTTGAGGTTGCTGTGAGCTATGATACCATTGCACTCTACTGAGGGTGACAGAGTGAGACAGAGTAAGACTCTGTCTCTTTAAAAAAAAATGATTACACTATCATT